TATATATATATATATATATAAAGATCTAAGTAACTGCGAATAAATTAAGAACCCCTCATTAGCCTGATATATATGATCAAAAGTCTGTGTTTATACTAGTTTATACCTCAGTAATTCCAACCCCTAATTTCACCTGATCTTTCCCCTTGATGTTAAATAAAACTTTTGTTATTTTTGAATTGTAAAAGGATCCCAAGAGCCATCTTCAAGGGTTTAATTTAAAGAGTGATCCTATCCCTTCCCTCAGGTTCCTGGGCTGAGCAGATAGCCAAAATATATCTATCTGACAGGGTGGGACAGCCAAGGTTTCTTCAGGAAGAAGAAAACACATTACCAGAGCTCCTCAGTTAGTGAGGGGACAGGGAAATGGAGGGAACATCAAGCCTCTGAGGGAGGGAAGTGGAAGGGGTCCATCATACAGGGGTCCAGGGCCTTTTTGGTAGATGGTGGAGTGAGTGCAAGTGTTCTCTTTTTACAGGAGCTGCTGAGTCGAACGTTGCTGGAAACCCAGAAATTGGACCTAATGGCAGAAGTTTCAGACCTGAAGATTAAGCTGGTTGGGATGGAAAAGGAACAAAGCGAGTATGAAGAGAAGCAGAGCAAAGCCGAGGTAAGCCTTACTTTGTTCTCTTTTTGAGTTCAGCTCATTTCACTTCCGCCGCATGTCTTCAAAGCCTGGCGGTCTATTTAACCTTTGCAAAATGGAGCTAAGAGTACTGGATTTCTGACACTGAAGTAGGCATTTACTGTTCCCTCCAAACTCTTTCCTATTTCTCTCTAGCAGTAGGGTTCCCCACAGCCCAGGGTCTCAATATATGCTAAGTACAGCAAGCCCCTGGCTAGAATATTTGCTTCAGCATGGTGAGTGGGGGGGGGGGGATTTGGACAAGCAATGAGCTAAGCTCTAAAGTTCATGTATTTGTTAAGAACTTGAATGGATAGGACTTTGCTTTCAAAAGAAGCAAAAAAGTCCTTCTGTAAAAAATCAGCATTTGTGATTTTTAATTACAGTCCAGAAGAAACCTAAGTCCACTGTTTTTTCCCCTGTGAGTGTAATGACTATGTTAAATCAAGTAAAACGTTTCTCACACATCCATAGTTGCCTAGTAATATTTTTATTTATTTTATTTATTTATTCAGGTATTTCTACCCCGCCCTACCCCGCGAGCGGGCTCAGGGCGGCTTACAAAGGCATAAGCCCATACATAAAATTTATAAAATCCGATAAAATCACACATCACAACCAACATAATAATAATAAAGTGCTTTAGATTCCAAGATGGTCTGCAGCTGACACCTGCAGGGAATTACCCCTGCAGGCTTTAATCATGATAGATTTATTGTGTTCTAATAATTTTGGGGTTGAAATGGTCTCACTGGCGTGTTTTACTTCAACATTTCTGCATGGTGACAAATGTGTAAGTAGGTTTTATGTCTCCCATGTGCCTGTGTGGGAGTGACAGATGATCATCACCACAATAGGCCAGTTTGGTCAGGTGCACACCAGTGTTCAACCAGGCTGTGGCCCAGTGATGTCTGCTATGCAGTCAGGCCATCGCTGGTGGTCCTAAAGTTCACCACTCCTGCTGTTTTGTTTTGTTTAAAAGTACTAGATATGCTTCAACTCAGTACTCAGAGAGTTGCCAAAATGAAGCGGGGTGGCTTCGTTTCAGATTAATGCCAGGCTTAATTGAGCCTGTGGTCCATTCACTGTCCTTGTGTTTTATAGTTTCTGTATAAACTTGCTTGTAAAAAGTTTGAAGTAGGTATTCACTCCGTGAAATCGTTATAGTCAGTCATCTGTCATTACTAAGCAGACTAATGTATTTCTATCTCCTTGCCTTATCAAGCCCAGACATATATGCAGAGCTCGGGGAAACAAGCCAGGCCAATGGATACTCCTGAGGCAGGCACCTGAGACAGGGCTGGGGGGCGGGGGGTTCCAGTAGTGGAAGAAGAGGAAACATTTTCTCCCTCTCCAGCTCCATAAATAGCGCTGGCCTGCCCAAGCCTAGAGGGGAATACAGGAGGCAAGCTATTCCCATCAAGCCTTGCTCAGACTCACCTCCAGCTTTCTCCAGCAGCTTTCACCACAGCCTGCTCTAGCTAGCTTTGGCCAGACAGCCGTGAGCATGAAACATTTTCACAGGTGACTTTTTACAATATTGTGACCCTGTTCCTATCCCAACATGGTTTTCATCCACTGAAAAAGAAGTGGGGGATGGTGTTTTCGTCTGCTTGAAAGTAAGTTTGAGATAGCATCCCAACCTACCCTGAGCATTTATTTGGCTGCTGCACTTGGTTTTCTGTGTGATATTTCAAAGTAATAAATAATGGCAGTTCTTCTAGGTGTTTTCCATACTGTGCCAAGCTTGTGTGGTTTCCCTTTTGCTGATATAGCACAAAAGCAATGGGGTTTCCACATGGCTGGTTTCTCTGCAGTTTTCCCACCTCAGTCCCCTGGCAGAGGATGGGCACGCACACACACTCTCTCTTCAGCATTTGGGCTTTTCAAGTTTTTAATGTGGCAGTTGAATATCATTATAACAATCCATGCATCAGGTTCTGTGAATTCCCAGCTTTTTTTTTTTTTTAATCATCATCATCTATATACTAATAGCAAAGTCGGCCAAATCTGAGGATACTTAACTCCAGTGACTGGAACTGTGGACAGGCAAGACAGATCTTTCTACAAATATGAACAACACCCCAGGTTTGTGGGAAAATTTGAAATCTAAAGGAGGAAAAATTGGATTTTAAGAAGCCCCAAATGATAGAAGGAGCACCTGTAACTTTAACAAATGGATTTCCTCAGTGGCTGTTGCTAGGCAACCACAGCAATCCAAGGCCTGGTTTCTGTGAGTAAAAGGCAGTGAGAGAGGGCAGGGTCTACCCTAGGGCTGTCTATTCCTCTTCATTGTAGAGATACAAGAGTGAAGACATATGGCTCTAACAAAAGAAGATAAGAGACTTGCAACTTTTTAAAAAACCAGTGCTGGAAAATTACAGGCCAGTCAGTCTGACGTCGATACCGGGTAAATTGGTGGAAACCATTATTAAGGAAAGAATTCGTGGGCACATAGTTGAACAAAAACTATTGAGGCAGCATGGGTTCTGTAAGGGAAGATCTTGTCTCACTAACCTGTTAGTGTTCTTTGAGGGGGTGAACGAACATGTGGACAAGGGGGATCCAATAGATATTGTTTACCTTGACTTCCAGAAAGCTTTTGATAAAGTTCCTCATCAAAGGCTACTAAGTAAGCTCAAAAATCATGGGATAAAAGGACAAGTCCTTTTATGGATCAAAAACTGGCTAATTAATAAAAAACGGAGAGTGAGTATAAATGGGCAATTTTCTCAGTGGAGGGAGGTAAGCAGTGGGGTACCGCAGGGATCAATACTTGGTCCACTGCTTTTTAACTTGTTCATTAATGATTTGGAGTTGGGAGTAAGCAGTGAAGTGGCTAAATTTGCGGATGATATGAAGTTGTTCAAGGTGGTGAAAACCAGTGAGGATTGTGAGGCACTCCAAAGGGATCTGTCAAGGATGGGCAAGTGGGCATCAACATGGCAAATGGGGTTCAGTGTGGCCAAGTGCAAGGTGATGCACATTGGAGCCAAAAATCCTAACTATAAATACACGTTGATGGGGTCTGAACTGGCAGAGACTGATCAAGAGAGAGGTCTTGGAGTTGTAGCAGATAACTCACTGAAAATGTCGAGACAGTGTGTGACTGCAATAAAGAAGGCCAATGCTATGCTGGGGATTATTAGGAAAGGAATTGAAAACAGATCAGCCAATATCATAATGCCCCTATATAAATCAATGGTGCGACCTCATTTGGAATACTCTGTGCAGTTCTGGTCACCACACCTTAAAAAGGATATTATAGCTTTGGAAAAAGTGCAGTAAAGGGC